TGTTTCTCTTATAAAAATTATTTTTGACTGCCTAAAGTTTTATTTTCTTAGAGTTAAGGATGAAATGGCTTTTACATAGAAAAAGCTTTCCTCTGGTGATTCTCCTCTGCATGAGCCCGAGAGGATGTTGTTAACAAAATACAGTGATCCTGAATTAGCTCCTAAAGCCTTTGATATTTCAAGTGTGACCATAAATTAAGGAGTCTCAAGAAAAGGATATTATCTTTCCATTGCATTTGTGACCTGAATCATGTCACAGTAGTTCATGACATCACAAATCTGGATAACTGTTTTTGGAGAGATTGATTTTAAGCACAACTGTCTTGGAGGAAAGCTCATAAGTAGACGGTATCAGGAGTTAATGGGAACAGTCTAGGAATTAGGAAAGAAGCAGACTCATAGAAAGCCATAGCATCCTCATTTCTTACAGCTGTGCCAATACTAGAGGAAGCTGAGAGGCAGGAGACAAGAGAACAAGGGATAAGCAATGCCAACTATGAAGAATAAGCTTTTTAGTTATGTTCCTTACAGGATGATGGAATAACCTGGTCTATTCCTACAGAAGACAGAATAGCACAGAACGTAGAATGAATTGATTCAGCTTCAACTGTGTGTTACTGTGAGAACTTAGGTTTCACTAGACGTAAACATTAACCACTAGACACAAAAATCTCTTTCACTTTTCATGATGCTTTAACCAGAAATGCTGCCAACCTGGCACACTGTTCTACCTGTAAGTGTGACTATTTAGAAAACTTCTTGTGTTCTTTGCTCTACTATTTATGCTTTTAATAGTAAAAGTATGAATTAAGTAGGTAATGGTTACCACTGGGAAAGTTGGGGCTGGAAGGAGAATAAGATAAGAGAACAAGTGGGAAAATATGGTAACCATTATTAGAAACTTGAAGAACAAATTTGATTGTAAATCTGTTTATGCAACCTATTAAGACTGTATAAATAAAAATGGCTCAGGCTATGCAGGACTACTATATGTATGAAACAGGTGGTCAGGGTTTCGTCATTGAGCATACGTCAAATGTTCATTACTGGGAATCAAACCAGTGAAAAATTAGGAGGTGGCACCGTGAACATGCATGAGAGGAAGGTAATTTACTGGACATTTGTGTAGTGTGAAAAGAACTCCTCCCTGAGTAACCCGCAGAGCCTCTGGGAATGAGTCCAGGCGAGGAACAGTAGACAACTGAAGAACTTCTGAGAAGGTTGGGATGAAGAAAATGGATAGAATACAAAAATAAGTGAAGTTCCATCATTTTCCAGATAACAACAATATAATTAGACTATACCTAATAAAATCACACAATATAGATGACACCAATGATAAAAGGACACACAAACGGAGATCGACAAATTTTCCATGGGTTGTTAACCAAGAACTACAAGATTCTAACAAAATAAAAATCAAAGAAGTCACCATGGGTCCTGCAGTTCTCTCCTTTTCCCATGATACAGAATGGCTTGAGGAAGAAGGGCTGTTCCACCAAAACTGAATACACTTTTCTAGATGCCTTCAGGTGTTTCTCCATTGTAAAAAATACTTCTGACTACTAGAAGAATCTCAATCCCTTATGATAAAGAAAAGGATGTCTCTTAGGATCACTTAGAAACTATTTTGCTCCCTGTAATTGATGATTGGATGTGAAGAAATGAAGACCAAATCAAAACAAATGCAAGATAACAGGTATTTAAATAGACATTGTATGGTTTGTATTATACAACCAAAGCAACTTGTTTTCCATGTGTGTATAAGTGACACACCAGATAAGATTGTTTCAGATTTCCTATATCTGGAGTAACAGGTAGTTATAAGCCTCCAGACTTGGGTGCTGGTTTCTATATTCAGGTCAACTTGCTAAATGACATGCCCAGCCCACATAGTACATTTTACCCAATAAACTAAAAGTATTTCACAGATTAACAAAAACCTAAATAAAGAAAGAAGTAGGTAAATGTTGCCTGGGAACCTGATGCATCAGTATTAAGATTTTTGGAATGTGACCAGGTAGGCTGCCTGCAGACCTTCCTTCCCCATTATCTGTTACCTAAGACCCAATACCCAGGGTTACCCCTAGGGCTGCAACAGATTACCAGCTATAAATTCCTCTCACTTTTCTGTGTCTCTGTGGATTCCACAGCACATCGTCACCGGCCCATTCCTTCTTGTCTTTCTTCTGTGTCCCCACTACAGCTGATTCAGACACCCTTCAGCTCAAATACTCGCCGCATCTGCCAGATGACCAGGTAAGCTATTTGCAGATCTACCATATTATCTGTTACCCTAGATCCAATTTTCACAGTTGCCCCTAATGTTGGACTAGAACACAAGAGACAGCTTCCCATTACCCTCGTCCTTTCTCCAGGCCTCCAATAAATACCTAGGATAATCTCCCACTGGCTTCCCCTTCCTCTAGCTTCCAACACCAGCAAAAATTCTCCTCTGAACACACCAACCAAGGTCAGTATAAAAGGGCACTACTCACCAACTACACGCTCTGAAATTCCAGGGAGCAAACAGAAACCTAGGGGGGAAAAAAAAAAACTCCCATCCAACCAAGACTTTCCCAGAAATCAGCACCTAGACTTAATTCCTCCAAACCCAGATTTCTAGACACAGGAACATAATCCACAACAGCCAGGGACGTATGTCACAACAAAGTCCAGGTATCCAATCTTGGCTGCTCCTAATATTCCAACAGTGCTGAACTATGACAAAAAGACATTAAAACTATATAAAGATGGCAAAGGCTCTTAAAAGGAAAATTATTAAGTCCCTCAAATAAATTCAGGGGAAAAATGCAGGAAACAAATAATCCCAAAATAAAGAGAAAAAAAGACAATAGTTGCAGAAAATAAACAAAACTTTTCAAGACCTGAAAATGAAAATGGAAGAAATAAATAAAGTGAGAAAATCCTGGAAATGAAAGCAGCCTGGAAGGAGAAGAGAGCTAGCTGTCTTGCCAGCACTGGGCTCAAAGTCAGGAATAGGTGTTCACAGCAATGTTCAGTTTCATACAGGGAGGCAAGCTTCAGCTAGAGGGGATGTTGACTTAGTCCAGTATTTTCCAACTGTCCTGATGCTGTGACCCTTTTTATACAGTTGTTATTGTAGTGGTGTCCTCCCCCATTATCTCCATTGCTACTTCATAACTGCAATTTTGCTGTTGTCATGTACTGTATAATAATCATCTGTGTTTTCTGATGGACTTAGGCGACCATGAAGGGTCTGACTCATAGAGTCACAACCACTATTCTAAAATGATATAAATATATAAATACATATATAAATAGCAATTAAGAAAAAAATGAAATTAAATTCTTAGTGACTAGGAAATGTCTGGAAAATAGACACAACAAAGCATAGAGCAGTAATGCTTTTAAAATGAAATTTAAAAAACGGTATCAATAATTGACTTGTTAAAGAGATAAATTTAACTGGAAGAACACTTAGCTAGAATGACTTTGAAAAAGAGTGGGCACTTTCATTGTAGAGAGAATGTCATCCATAAGAGACTGTATGACTTTGTCTCATGAGCTGCTGAGTGTGACAAAGAGTGACAGCCAATGGCCTGTATCTCAAACCTCTCAGGTGACCTTACTGTGTCAACCAGGATTGCACACATGTGCATGGGAGAGTTCACTAATTGAAAATTAAATATTTATTGGTTAAAGCTACCCTCCCTAAATTCTATTCTCATCAATTACGTTTATCTTTATTCACGTGGAAAGAATTAATACATGCGGGGAAATACACAGTCATTCACTGTGCCCCTTCACATCCTTCTTTATGATGCAGAGCTCTGAGCTCACTGCTAAAGCATTAGTCTGTGATCTATATCTATTGCCTAGTCTGTTTCCCCCTGCAGTACACACAGGACACTGTTCCTCCTCTTCTGGTCTGAAGTGAGAGCCAGGCTCCACATGCAAATCCTTTTACTCTTCCTGCAATTGACAGTCACTCTGTGATTTAAACTGGTAATTTTAGAACTCTGTAAAGGTGTAATCCAAAAACTTAGGGTGCTTAGTCAGAGGCCTAGCAAGGGCAGTGTCCTCTGGGACTATAGACAGAGTTCAAATCAGTCTCAATCAACATTGAAGACCTTGTCTCAAAATTGAAGACTGCTTTTCAAAATGGGTTAAAAGGCAGCTGTTTAAGAATTGATATGTTTTATGTCACAACAGGACTTAATGTTGGTTGTGACCCTTTAATGCCCCCTTAAGGAGCATGATAGAGGCCTGCTCTTTGAAGTAGGGGAGGAGGACTTTTGGCCCAGAGTAAAACAGTGTTTAATCTTTTTTTTTTTTTTTTCTGGGAATGTAGCTAATGGCTGATTAATGCTGGTTAACAAACATTTACGTTTTATCTTAGTAACCTTTAACAGGCGTGGTTAGCAAACTACTTATTTTGGGGGTATTTGCGAGACAGTTCTTTCCCTAAATTCTACTTTATGTGACTTCATGTCTCTCGAAGATTTCGCAAATGCTTACACCATCAATACTGTTACCACCAATTCTACTCTTCTACATCAGTTTAGCAGGGGAACGCTACTCTACATAGGACGTATCATTCAAAAGCTCCACAAAATTAAGCCAGATGGATCCTAAACCTAAATGCTCTATTTTACAAGTGCGGATCTTCAGGAAGACGCCACAGAGACCAGGGTTCTCCGAGTTTGTCAATCGTGCCTTCCATATTGACAACATAAGTATTCAGACAGCAGGATTTCCCAGTAAAGTCAACAGGATGGACATTTCTAAGTACGATTACACGCCCCAATCTTTTCACAGATGCAGCCTGTGGAGGTAAATTATTCGGAAACGGCTGCCCCGGCCCAGGGAACGATAACGATCACGGCCAACAACCGCAGCAATGCCAAATTCAGCGTTTGCCCACTAGCTCCCACCCAGACAAGGGAGGGAAACACGGGCGTCTGTGGATCAGATGGCTGCTCCGCAGAGTTTGGGGACATCGGTCCCTCACTCACCATCGCGTGCCAAACTTCCTTGTTTGATGACAGACGCTCATAGTTCACCATGGATCGACTGCACAGCTCAACCGTGATTTCTGCACCTGGAACCCAAGACGCAGCAAACAGGTAATTTGTGACTTCCTCAGGAGTGCACGCTAGCCAGGAAACAGGAAGAACCCTCCCACCTGACAAGCGCATTCGCTAGTGGCTCTGATTGGCTAAACGGTGCCTGAGTGACAGGACATAGTGAGAGGAATGGAACAACACGATGGTTCTTGGCCCTAGCTTTGCTTCTAAGCTCAGACCTATCCCAGATTTGCTGGGAATTTGTGCCAAATTCTACGGCAAGTCTCTTGTTAATGTAAAGCAACCGGTTCTGTTTTAAAACTAAGTATGCATAATCAGAAGGAGGCTAATCAGACAATGTTGCACAAAACAAACATAGTGTAACTCAAGAAAATAATTAAAAATGTTTGCAGTGCCATTAGGGCTGATAATCTCTGTCATGAAAGAGTTGGGTTCTCAGGACCTGAAGCAACCTCTTCACGAAGGATGGGGCTCCAGACCATTAACAGCTCTAGGAAGCATCTTCCTGATTTCAGAGAATGATACTGTTTCTTTATACATCGGGTACTGGAAGAAACGCCTCTAAGGCATAGGTGGCAGGCTGCCAAATTTGGAGAGACCTAGTTCTCAAGCATTATCTGGAAATTCTGCACTTTTTGTTTGAGATTTAGGTGTAAGATTCATTTGGAGATTATTTGAAGAGGCTGTATATGGCATCTTACATTCTGGGCAGAACAGCACTGTTATACCGTGATCTAGGAGAGCAGGACTGATGATATAAAGGATTTCCCAATGTTTAGAAGATATTAAGTGACACAAAGTAGAATTTAGCTAAGGGAGGATTGCCTCTAAAAGACCCCGAAGGTAAGTAGTATGCCAAGAAGTCCTGGTTGCAATGAGGATGCTAGGGTGTAAAATGCTTATTCACGTTTTGTGTATATTGCTATTGGTCAGATTCCTGTGGTAAAAAGAGCAAACGAGATGCTTATCAAAAGGGAGCTTAGAGAGATACTCTGTGTAAAGATCTTTCTATAGTAAGCTGGAGCATCATAGTTTTAAAAGGGATTACTGAGACTTGTTGTACTGGATTCTGTACTCTTGAATTTGATGATGTATTTGCTCTTTCTTTATATTGCCTACATACAGCCATTAAAATCCAAAAGCATAGTTATAGTAGCAGTGCTATGTATTATATGAATACTGCCTTGTGTTTTTGCTAAGGTTTAGTTTAACACATTGTACCCAGGAAATACTAATTTATTGTATTATCTTACATACAGTTTCTATTTAGTTTTCTTTTATTTCGTTGTTGTTGCTCAACACTATCATAAGACAAAGAAATGGCACCTTCCTATGATCAGCTGTGCCTGCTTACAAAGGAAAACGACCACCAGGTTTGCTGACTGTAGATATTCCATCATAGAGGAGGGATTAGAAAAAGAAAGCAGTGCATATAAGAACATATGGAAATGTCTTCAGTAAAGAAAGACTTACTTATATTAAGATGATAATGACTGGAAGGCTCTAGAAATAAAAAGACTGGAAAGCTTTTGGAAATTATGAAGTTATAAGTAAGTTGTTTTAGGTACATAAAGGATGAGATTTAACGACCACATAGTTGTTAACTAACGACCACAATTTAAGATTGCCAAGTTCAGATGTCAAGTATTTTGAGGACAGGTTGAAATGTATGTCAAGCAAAAGTTTATTTAATTGTGTCTGGCTATCAAAATATTTTTTCTAAGCACATACACATAGCACACATGGCACACACATACACAGAGCAAGAATCTGGTGAAATCTAAGAATTGAGAATATGAGAAAGTATGACCCTTTATCACCTATTGCTTTGATTATGACTGAAGCATTAACAAGAGAGTAGCATGCGGAACACAAGTCTTTAATGAATACTGTATTGACAGCCATGCTTCCAGAAAGGGAGACTCGAGGAAACCTTCATATGGTTATATTAAGTGTGTGGTACATAGGTTGGTAGTGAAAATGCCTATGAACAATAAACTGGGGGTGACTCAGCAAGACCGTGTGCTCAATACATTCTCCACACGGCTCTTCAGAGATACAGACAGCATTTTCCCTACTCACAGAAGAGTGTCTGTGGAATGTCATCGGATTTTATGGTCTGCTTTGGAGAATGTAGGATTAAAGAGCATATGATCTTCTAGCTTTTATTTTCTCAAATGTCAGTGTTTCATATTTGGGGTGATATCATGCCCAGGCAATCTTCAGATCTTATGTCTTATCTCAGCAAGGGAGAGGATGACAGATGCAGGCATGTTTTCACTTGGTAGGGAATACATTTATCCTGGAAGAAATGAATGCTCCTTAGAGGAACAGATTGCAGATACAATAGTCATGAAAAAGTTGGTCTAGTTTTCTCTCTTGTAACAGGAATGAGTTGAATATTTTCTAGTTGATGTTTTGATTTCCTTTGGAAGAGTCTACCTATCAATGAGGGAATTCAGACTCTTCCTTGTTGTACTTATCGCTTCCCAGATGCCTTTAGCTCAAAATAATCACTGTATTAATATCTCGTCATGTTCGCACACCTGAACTGAAGACACTCCTATGTAACACATCGGCCCTACTTTTTATAAGGTTCCTTTTTCTTTTCTTCATCCTTTCTTAGTATGGCAACTTGATTTGCATCTTGAACTCTTTTTACTAATGCTTAATTTTTATTATTAGAGTGTGCGTAAATGTGTCTCTGTGTGTAGTTTTTGTGCATAGGAGTTCATGTGCCCTTGGAGGAAAGAGGTGACAGTAGCTCCTAGGCAGAAAAAGAGACATTTGGAAGATGTCTGCTATGGACTCTGAAAGTTAACCTGGGTCCTTTGCAAGAGCAGTGTACACTCTCGACTGCTGAAATACCTCTCTAATTCAGACATCTTTTGCTTTGTAAAATAACCTATCCTTTTCCTTTTACAAACCAATTCCAGTTCCAATTCCCTCCAATCCTCCCATTCTATCTCTCCCGCACACACAACACCCACCATCCACTCATCAGAGAGGGTAAGGTAGGTACATTATTTTGAGGAAGGTTCAAGGCCCTCCTTACTATATCTAGGCTAAGAAAGGTATCCATCCAAAGAAAATAGGTTCTGAAAAAAACAGTACAAGCAGTAGGGATAAATCTTGGTGCTACTGCCAGTGGCCCAGTAGTCATACAACTATCACCCACATTCAGAGGGTTGTAGTTTGGTCCTTTGCTGCTTCATTCCCTGTCTGGCTGGAGTTTATAAACTCCCATTAGCTCAGGTAAACTGTTTCAGTGGGTTTACCCATCATGGTCTTTACTGTTTTGCTCATATTCTCACTCCTTCAAATCTTCATCTGGATATTGGGAGCTCAGCCCAGTGATCCACTTTGGGTCTCTGCCTCTGCTTCTCTCAGTTGCTGGATGAAGGTTCTATGGTGACATGTAAGATATTCATCAATCTGACTACAAAGCAAGGCCAGTTTGGGCACCTCTCCTCTGTTGCTTAGGGTCTTAGCTGGGGTTATCCTTGTGGATTCCTGGCAATTTCTCTAGTGTCAGATTTCTTGCTAGTCTCATAATGGCTACCTCAATAAAAATATCTCCATCCTATCCTTGCTCTCATCTCTGTCCTTCCTCTATCTCAACTATTCCACTCCCTCATTTTTTTCTCCTCCCTTCTCCTGTCCCCTATTCTTTCTCTTCTGCCCTCCTTTCTCCCCCCATCCCGATACTCTCAATTTTGTCAGGCAATCTTGTCTATTTCCACTTTCCAGGGGGATCTATATATGTTTTTTCGTGGTTCATCTTGTTACTTAGCTCCTTTGTCCTTTACTTTACAGCTAATATCCACTTATGAGTGAGTAGATACCATGTTCGTATTTCTTGGCCTGGGTTACCTCTTTCAGGATGGTTGTTTCTAGTTCCATTCATTTGCATGCAAATTTCAAGATGTCATTTTTCTTTACTGCTGAATAGTATACCAATATGTAAATGTACAGCATTTTCTTTATCCATTCTTAGTTTGAGGGGCATCTAGGTTGTTTCTAGGTTCTGGTTGTTACAAATAATGCTACCATGAACACAGTTGAACAAATGTCCTTGTAGTATGATTGAACTTCCTTTGGGTATATGCCCAAATGTAGTATTACCCGGTCCCGAAGGAGGTTGATTTTCAATTTTCTGAGAAGCTAACATACTGATTTCCAGAATGGCTGTACTAGTTTGCATTCCCACCAGCAGTGTAGGAATGTTCCCCTTACTCCACATCCTCTCCAGCACAAGCTATTATTGGTGTTATGAATCTTAGCCATTCTGACTGCTGTAAGATGGTATCTCAGGGTCATTTTGATTAGAGTTTCCCTAAACGCAAAGGATGTTGAACATTTCCTTAAGTGCCTTTTGACTATTTGAGATTCTTTTGTTGAGAATTTTCTGTTTATGTCTGTACCCCCATTTTTAATCGGATTATTTGGAATTTATTGAGTTCTTTATATAGTTGGGAGATCAGTCCCCTGTCAGATGTGGGGTTGGTGAAGATCTTTTCCCATTTAGTAGTTTGTCCTTTTGTCTTATTGACAGTGCCCTTTGCTTTACAGAAGCTTCTCAATTTCAGGAGGTCCCATTTATTTATTGTTGTTTTCTGTGTCTGTACTACTTGTGTAGGAAGTGGTCTCCTGTGCCCAAGCATTGAAGGCTACTTCCCACTTTCTTTTCTATCAGGTTCAGTGTGGTCAGATTTATATTGAGGTCTTTAATCCATTTATACTTGAGTTTTGTGTATGGGGAAAAACATGGATCTATTTATGTTCTTCTACATATTGATATTCAGTTATACCACCACTATTTGTTCAAGATGCTCTCTTTTTTTTCCAGTGTATAATTTTGGCTTCATTGTCAAAAATTGGGTGTTCATAGGAGTGCAATTTAATATCCAGGTCTTTGATTTCATTCCATTGGTCAGCCTGTCTGACTCAATGCCAATACAAAGTTGTTTTTATTACCTTAGCTCTGTAATAAAGCTTGATGTCAGGGATGGTGATGCCTCCAAAAGTTCCTTTATTGCACAGGATTGTTTTGGCTATCTTATTTTTGTTGTTGTTCTTTTAAACCTGTAAAGATTGTATTGGGATTTTTA